GTTTGCGGCAATTTGGCAACTAGAGCGTTAATATACTTGCCCATGACAAGGTCCTTAAGCTCTTCGTTTCTCTCCATCATTGCGCTAACGATTTGACTCATGGACATACAAGCAATATCAGAATCGGACGGTCCAATACCCACTGAACTATTGGTAACAGTGTTTTAGACACCGCTGCCAATACTCTTACCCACTGAACTATTGGTAACAGTGTTTTTGACACCGCTGCCAACACACTGACCTGTGCGTGATCGATTCTTTGACATTGCTAAGAAAAACACCACAAATCGGCAGAGAAATTAAATGCCCAAACTTATCTGCTATTACCAGTGCTTCACTTTACCGACCGCTCAGGACGAACGAGAGGCGAATAATCCCTACACATAATACTCTTATGACTTCGTAATTTACCATTCGCTTTAGAGGTGGGATCATATTTTCTTAGGATTGCGTACGAAACACAAACACAAACATACACAAACACACACACAAACACAAAAACAAAAACACAGACCTGAGCGCGTTATATATAGCAGGTTTTACCTGGGGCCATCTGCGACCCTCTGCGATCCATCCGATGTAGTGTTCTTGCTGTTGTTCCTGCAGATTTATCCGGTAAGGGACGCGCCGCGTCACCCCTTGTGAAATGAACAATCACGGGTATTGCATATCTTCTTCCTTTTGACGCTGGACCCAATTACAGTTCATATACTCCTATAATTTCGAAGTTGCGAGGTTTGCCTTTCATATTTCGGGATTGAGCAACGGTAGTGTTGCAATCTGGCGGCTGACAGCTCTATCGTAAAGTTTGACTTTTTTGAGGTTATACGTACTCAGAATGTTTCGAAATATGGGCGCTCTTTGTGTTGTTTACGCTAACTTAAAAAATTTACTCAGGCTCTTGGCGCCCCCACCCCCCACTTAGGCCAAACCTCCTTCCCCCTTAACCTCCCCATCCCCCTTTGGCGATGAAGCTCCATCAAGGACCAGTGCTTATCGACGGTATGGTGAATTCAACCGAGATCCTAGTTCATTCCAAGATGAATTTCGTGAAGGTCTCCAAAATCAGTTGTTGTTCCGAAGATGTGCGCAAACTAATATTCCAAGATCGTCATATCGTGAGATTGGGACGACCTTAGGTATTAAAAGACCAGCACACATTCAATATCGCATGAACATTTGACGCAAAAAATTGATCCCACAAAATTTGTCAATCCCTCAGAAAAAAGGCTCGTGTCGATTGGTCGAAAGAAATGCTCAAAAAATACATCGCGGTGCTTCGAAACACGTCTATGACATCGAGATAGGTGATGGATCGGGTTTACGCGTATGAGCCCGGAAGTAAAGAGCAGTCGACCATATGGGTATTTCAAGATGAGCCAAATCCAACATAAGCTGTCCGCGCACGAAGCACTTCCAAGCAAGTGGTCGCCTGTTTTTTTTTTTGGAAAAACTGAACATGTCGCAACTGTATCACTTGAACAAGCAGAACAGTCAATTCTGAGTCGTATACAACCATCTGTTAGCCAGTTGCCTTCCGAACAATCAGGAAAACCAGTTGCCGAAGACGGATCACCCTTCACCACGACATGCGAGCTCCCGCACATCGGCTCAAACAACTGCATTTTTGAGCACTCAAAACACTGATTTGATGAGTCATCAGCCATATAGTTCTCAAGTGACTTTTTCTTGTCCCGAACGTAAAAAATAAAATGAGAGGTCAACGTTTTTCGACACCTGAAGAAGCCGTTGATGCTCTTAGAATGCATGTTATAGAGTTACCTCAATCAGAATGGCGAAAGTGCTTCAAAAATTGGTTCGAGCGCATGCAAAAGTGTATAGATCTTAATTAGGAAAATTTTTGAAGGCAGTCAAGCGGTTTTCAATGATTAACACTTATTTTTGTTTTCTAATCCCGAAATATAAGGAGCAACCTGCGCACCACTTGCTTAAGAGGTGGTCCATACGTAGGTTGCCTTTTATATTTCGGGATTTGAGAACAGGAACAAATACTATTTATCGAAAATTGCTTGACTGCCTTTCAAAATTTTCCACATTAAGAACTATACACTTTTGTATGGGCTCGAACCAATTTTTGAAGCACTTTTGCCACTCTGATTAAGGTAACTCTAAAACATGCATTCTGAACTCATCAACGGCTTCTTCAGGTGTCGAAAAACGTTCACCTCTCATTTTATTTTTTACGTACGGGATGAGAAGAAGCCACCCGGAGACTACATGGCTGATGACCTGTCAAATCGTTGTTTTGAGTGCTAAAAAATGCGGTTGTTTGAGCCGATGTGTGGGAGCTCGCATTGTCGTGGCGTGGGATCCAAAGCCAACAAAATTTTTTACAGTCAAATGTTCATGCAAAAATGGATGTAAGCTAGTTCCACTAATGCTTAAGGTTGCCTCAATCTCTCGATAGGTTACATGACGATCTCGCAGTATTAGTTTGTGCACAGCATGAACTGTTTCCCGAACGACAACTGATTTTGGAAGACCTTCACGAAATTCGTCTTCGAGTGAACTACGACATCGGGTGAACTCACTGTACCACCGATAAGCACTGATCCTGGATGGAGCTTCATCCCCAAAAATTGAACCAAGTTCATCCATGCACTGCTGTTGAGTTAGTCGACGTCGAAGGCTGTATAAAATAATCGCGCGAAAATGCTAACGGTTCAACTCCATAACTTGGCCGTAACAAAATCTTATAACTTAGTGTAAACAATACAAATCGCGCCCAAATTTTGCAACCTAACCTCAGAATACCCAAACTTTACGATAGTGGTGTCAGTTGTTAGATTGCTACACTAGTGTTTCCAAATTCCGAAATATAAAAGGCAACCCTCGTATTTTCTTGCGGATTGCATACGATACACTTTTGACTTTGACGCGTTCATTTTGCACATCCTGCGCCATGTTTGGACAGTACACTCATTTGGATAGTTTTCGAAATATTCTTTGCGCTAAAGTCGCCTGCAAAGACGCCGCTGTGCGCTTTTTTGACGTTTCCAGAGCGATAAGGTCAGGGACCACGTCTACCGCCCTACCGCATCCCAAGATCCATTTCGATCTTTTGCCTTCTAGCGAGAACGCTGCCACACTCAGGAGTATTTTTCACCTGTTATTCTTACTTCTTTACCTCATTCCTCCTTTTCTAACATCCAATCGATTCTCCTAGTTGTGGGTCTTCCCTCAACTTTTTCACCCATTCTTTGACTTTAGCAACATTCACTACACCTTCATTTTCTCCTTTGAGCGATTTCAACTCCAGCGCTTCCGGTAGGCTCCTGCTGAAGGCAACTGAAATTACGTTTGTCTTTCCGTTCACGTAGCGAATCTCATGATTATACATCATCATTCATGATTTGCAGTTGGAGTGGCCATCTTAGCACGCGTGGTGACGTATTAGTACGCTCGAACAGTGCTGATAGAAGCTGATGATAGGTCATGACGATGGTAGGGTCATGACGATGGTAGATGGACCATATATAAATAAACATATTGAAGCGTCGTACCGCAAAGCCCACCATAATTGCCTCTAGATCTGTTACATGGTATCTTCATACTTTGCTCAAACTTTTTGATGCAAAGAAATTCGGATGCTTTTGCTTTTATCCACCCTCTTGTCATAGTATTACTCCCAAACCGTATGTTGATGCATCCGTGCATATACGAAATGTTTGATACCGTTTCTGGCGGAATCTACATCTGGCTGTTTGTGGACGGGTGCCGAGCAGATCATATCTTTTATTTCTGAAATCAAGTCACACTGGGAAGTATCTGGGAGGCGATTCGGGGCCGCCTCCAAAAACAAAGCCCCTTGTCCACTTCGGGATAGCCTGGCAAGCCCCCGGAGTCAATAGCCCCCACGTCAGAGCCTGGCAAGCTGCACGTTGGGTATCTTCACGCCAGAAACAGTAATAGAAATGGGCCGCATTCCGCTGAATCTGAGGTAGCCCCAATACGGCAGCGTTGGGTAGGACCATCCGGGAGAGGCTGCTAAAATCTTAGGGCCAAAAACAGGCTGCCCAAAAGGAGAAGGACTAAGATGGCGATCTGTCGTTCAACGCACGGACGCTCACATCGGAAGCGTGTTTAGAAGACCTGATGATGCAAGCTAGGAAGATCAAGTACGACGTCATCGGACTGACCGAGACGAGAAGGCATCGCCCGCTGCACGCTGTATTTGAGACTGGAGAAGAACTGTTCCTTGGAACATGCGACAGTAGAGGCGTCGGCGGCGTAGGTGTCCTCGTCAATACGCACCACCATCTATTTTCCCACAACTTAACAAACTTAACAACCCGAATCGGACGTTTGCGATTGAGAAGATGCGGCTCAATCCCAGCTCTAACCATCTTCGTTGCTTACACACCAACATCGAGCTACGAAGAAGAGGAGTTGGAAGCGTTTTATATGGATCTGGAGAAGCTCTACAGAAAAGACCACACTTTCTTCAAGGTCATCGTCGGTGATTTTAACGCCAAGATTGGCCCCAGAAGAACGGCTGAAGAGCTTCACATCGGGACTCACGGAGTGGAATGGAATGAGCAGGGTGAAAGGCTGTCCGAGTTTATCATGACGACCCACACCATCCATGGTAACTCGCAGTTCCAGAAGCCCTCTCATTTAAGATGGACATGGGAGTCACCTGGTGGACAGTTCCATAATGAAATAGACCACATCATCTTCAATCTTAGATTTTGCCTGACCGACGTCGCTGTTGTTCCGAAGTTCTACACGGGATCGGACCATCGTCTCCTCCGCGCTAGATTCTGCTTCTTGCGTGGGGAGAGAGCTATGAAGTTTCGGAAACGAAGCCCCAAGACCTCCATCAACTGAGACCACTTCGCTTCCCTTGCGAGTAAATGGAAGGATTCCGTTACCGACAAGATCAAAAAAGAATACAACCGGCTCGTCGAATATCTTCACAATAGTGCTAGGAAAGCAGAGAGTCTACAAGTATCCAGAAGACGACTC